GTTCATTGGGCTCCCTACAGCCCTTTCCATCTGCTTTTGGCAGATATTTTATGCCAGCTGTCACAGCTGGCATCCACATTACACCCCCTCCATACACGTGTATGGAGGGATTTGCCTCTTGTTTAGCTTCTCTTGGAAGCTTGAGGATTTGAACCTCTATAAAGAGGGAGCCCCTCCTCCCTCCTCCAGGTTCAGAGGATTAGGGTTAGGAAGTTTATATCTATCTATCTCTATAATTCCTTCTCTTTGCCTTTGTGTGTTTGTTTTGTGCCCTAAAGTGACTTTTGTTCACACTAGTGCACACAAACACCTAGTGTTACACCATCCTTGGTTGCTGAGGCTCTAAGGAGTTGTTGTTAAGGTTCTTGGGTTGGTTTTGATCCAAGGAAGGTGCTGGGGTGGTGTTCTTGAAGAGGTTCTTCAAAGGTGAGAACATATCTTTTTATTTCCCATTTTTGCACAAGCTTTTAGCATATCTTGCTTATTGTTTTAAGCCTCGACTATAACTGATAAAAGTTCTGATTTTGTGTTCTTTAGAACTTTATTTAAGGTCACTTTAAGGTTTGGGGTTGTCTCCCCCCTCCAAGGCCTTGTTAGGCCTTGTTTTAGGCCATCCATTTTGGCCATTGTTTTGGTCTTTGCATGGCCTCTCTACCATTGAAATCCAGAGGATTTTCAGTGGTGGAGAGGTGGTTTTGAAGTCCTAAAAAGGAGAGGGTCATCCCCTCTCCTTGTTGTCTTTAATGCTTGCATAAATGGCTTATGTTGTAGCATGTTTGCCTAGCTTGTTTTAGCTTCATTTCAGTATATATTAGGCTTTGTTTTGCCATGATATAGCATTGTTTTGCCTTGGTTTAGAGATGCCATGCTTGCTTTGTATACTTGTCTTGTAAACCCATGATATGCCTTAATGTGTACCTAGCATTTAGACTACTATGCTTACATGTTTTGGCCCAACTCCATAAAACTTTTAGGCTTTTTTGTAGCATGCTTAAGCTCTATTTTTCATTGATTTGGCCATGCTTGCATTGTTTTGCATAGCTACCATATAATCTAGCTTGTTAGCTTTGAGTATCCAAGTTGCTAGCATGCTCTATGTAGATCATTTCAGTGGTTTGGCATCACTTAGAATGTTATTTCAGTCCATATTTCATGCTTATGAACTTACATTTATCACTCCTTTAATGTCTTTAAGAGTTTGTGTTTTATGCTCCTTGAGATGCTTAGGCCATTTAGACGCCATCTAAGTGTGTTTTTGGTCTTGCTTAGACCTGCCTTGGGACTGTTTTAGGTCCCCTTGGCCCTTTGGGGTTTGCTTCATGTAGCCTTGGTTTGAGTCCCGTGGCAAATTTCAAGTTTTAGGCCTCCTTGCATGCTTTGCTTGCTTCATTTAGTTAGTTTGGCACCTTTTCTAACATGATTTTAGAGCTCACGATGTATGTCATTTGTCCATCTTTGTCCCCTTTTAAGTGCTCTTGAAAGTTGCTCTTTTATGCCTAGATGTTAGGTCATCAAAATGTGCATGTTTGTATATGTACTTCCTGCTTTTGTTTCACCATTTTGGCCACTGTTTTGGACCTATTAGAGAGTTGTCCTTCTTGGTGTAAGTCCATCCTTTGCATGTTGTTGCATGCTCGCCTTGTATGTTGTTGCATACTTTGCTCATCGCATGTCGTTGCATGCTTAAGTTGCATTTTGCATCCTTGTTAGCTTGCATCCTGTCATGTATTTGATAAATTGATTACATGCTTGCATGTTTGCATGCTTAGGTTGCATAGCATTGTGTGTGCATTGCCTTGCCTCTTGATCACACATGATAGAGGTTAAGGTCCCTTATGTGTTTTGTGCATTTCATTTGATATTGAATTGCACGCTTGACTCTTTTGGGCCATCATGCATTGAAATGTGTGATTGATGGCCCGAGGGTCGAGAACCATGCTCCTCTAAGTCTCAAACATGCTAAGGAGGGTGGTGGTGCATAAATTGTTTTGAAAATACATCGCCATGCTCTGTCTGTCCTCTGTTGCAGCAAACCAGTGTTCTGCAGGAGGAAATGGCCGGTCGACAACTTTCAGTGCTGGCCGACTACCAAAATAGTGTCGGTGATCCCATTTTTGGTCGATGACCATAACTCCATGGCCGGTGTTGTTTTATCTTGGTCGGTGACATCCCACTGTGCTCAGGGAGTGATTCTGAAGCTTCCTTGGGACCTGTGAAGTTTTCAGAAGTACAGATCAGTGTAAACAGAGGCAGCATGAGTATGGCGATGGATTTCCAAGCGGAGCCGAGCATGCACGCATTTATCCCTCTTCCCGAGGCTACTTTACCGCTTTACTAGCTTAGTTAATTTGTTTAATTACTTAAGTGGCTTTGTAATAATTAATTAGCTAAAATAGTTAATTATTTATTTGGTTTGTATTATTCTTTCGGACCTTCCGTCGAGAGGGCGAATGTTGTAATAAGTGTGCGTGTGTATGATGTATGTCTTCTAACCCCATGTCTTTCTCCCTTTTACTTACTTACTTTCGATGGTTAGTTTTAGGGCACGTTTCAATTAGCATCCTTATGCTCGCATGTTTGCATCCATTCATCTATCTTGCATGCACCGGGCTCGGCGCATCATACTAACTGCATTGTACTTCAATTCCAAGTTGAATGCGTGTTATCTGTAGCATCTCATATGCCATGTTAGAATAGCCGAGCCTATCTTAGTTGCATTTTGCATGTGTTGCATTAGCCATCTTAACATGAATTAGGATCATGCATTGATTACTAACTAGTTTCTGTTTTGGCTCGGAGTACTCGGTAAGTGTTTACGCTTTAGCATCCTTGCATGTGTGTAATTGACTACCATGATAGCATGCTTACCATGAGGCTAACTGCTTATGTGATATAAATGCCTGAATGCCTGTGGGTGAAGGTTGGATTACTTGAATTGGAACAATTCATCGATGACGAGTTTTAAGCCCACTTGAGAGTGGCAAATCACCATATTTTCTAAGCCCACTTGAGGGTTGCAAAATCCGCATTTTAGCCTACTTGCGAGTAGCAAACCGCTTTCAAAAACAAACATGAGATGTTTTGTTCCGACTCAGGCAATCTAGTCTATACTTGTATGCTGTGCGCATCACATAGTAATTCTAGGTTAATAACCGGAACAAGAACGCATGTGTTTTCAAAAACAAGATATCATGTTTAGTAGTGGCCGATCTTTGATCGGGCGAGCGGGGGTGCTCATAGATGACCTTCCCCAATCGTACCCAAGTTCCCGAGCCGAGGCAACTTTGGTGATGACGGACACGTGGCCTTAGGCAACGAGTCAGGGTTTCCTAAATTCTCCCAAAACAAAATATTTAGGTGGCGACTCTGTATCTGGCAAAGCAGTCCATGTTTGGCACTTCTTTCTAAAATTAGTTTTTCAAAAGGATTTGCCGGATTTGGACTCTTTGGTGATTTATCGATCTCGCATTGCACTTTGCAAGATTAGATTCAGAACCGTGACATCGAGTCCGAACTGTAGTGAGCCCAATGAACAAAACGGGATTCCTTCCCGGGATGTTCGGGGACGTCTACATGGTGCCTTCCAGCTGTAACAGCTGTAAAGAAAATATCTCCAGGAAATTGGTGAAAAACAACCGAGCTACTTATAGTGGTCGGCCGACCACCATAAGTGGTCTCCCAAGAAGACAACTGGTCGGCCAAGGGTAGGAGAGGTCTGCACACTAAAAGCAAGCCAATGGTTTGGTGGCTGACCAGAAAAGGTGGTCCAAAGACCAAGAAAATTAGTTGTCTGACCAGAAAACTGGTTAGCAGGAAGCAAAGTGGTCTCCAAGGAAAACAAGGTCTCCCACCCTTGTACCACCTTCCAAACAAGGAAAACAAGGTTTATACCAAAAACAAACCAAAACGGATGCAAGACGAAGGTCCGGGAGGCAAGATGCGCAGCCGGGAGACCCGAAAACTAGCTGACGAGCACCAAAAGTGGTTTGCGACCACAAAAGTGGTCTCCCAAACCACAGTGGCCCTCTAGGCCAAGGCAACAAGGTGTGGTTCAAAAACCACGCCAAACGGAGAACGTTAAGTGGTCCCGAGACAAGGCGCGTGACCAAAGGCTCCGAAAATCGAAAACTAGTCTCCAAGTGGGAAAAGTGGTCTACGACCATAAAATAGTGGTCTACAAGACCTCTCCCTCCCTCCAGGGAAGAGAAACAAAGCTTGGTCCACAAACCAAGCCGAAGCACAAAGAGTTCAGAGGCCCGGAGGCAAGGCACCAGGCCGAAAACTTCGAAACTTCGAAACCTCGAAACGAGCACAACATGTGCAATCACCGAGCGCTCAATCGATGACGTCTGAGTCTTAAGGTCGGTCAAAAATGGGGTGTCTACAGTGGGATCACCGTTTCATCAATCTAGAACATATTTTGTTTAGCCTCTCTCTATCTAGAGTTGGTGAGACTGTCCAGAGGATCCTCAATGATAGACCGCTAAACTGTTTGGCTCTGAAGCCTGTGAAAGTTCCTATATACATCATTTACAAGTTATAGGGGGATGTGGCGAGTGTTTATGGTATGATTTCTCTCCTTCCATTGGACCCGCCGGTGATTTTAATTCTTCTTCCTTGGTTTTACTACCTTCGAATTGTGTTGAGTGAGTTTTATTTGTAGTCTTATATCAGATCTTTTATTGTTATTGTTTTACGGTGAGTAATAGTTTGCATTTTTGTGCTTGCTTGAGGCTTAGAGTAAGACCATGGAATATCTGTCTAGAACATATACCCATGTCCATATTATGCCTTCTCGGAAAACGGTTTAGGGATTGCATCACAATTGAGTAGTTTGGATGAATTAGGTTCATGCATATCATTTTTTGTTTTTTGTATTTTAGTTTTTGGTTTATAGTTTTGTTTTTGATTTTTTATATTTCAATAATTTACGTTGCAGGAGATGAGATGGTACGACTTGGGCATTTGGCTTTCGTAATCATCTCAACGAAATTGGAAAACAATTGTCCGAATAAGGTAAGGGGCCAATGACATTTGGGAAGATGAGTCCAAGTTGTCTTATCTATTGGTTATTTATTTTGTTAGATAATCCTATTTAATATTTTTATTACGTCTTTTATGTGGCCCTTACATTTTAGCCATGATTAGCTACCTGTGTTATTCAACTTCTTTTAAGCATATTCCTTGTCGGCGAGTGATATAAGGTCTTGGGGTACTTTATATTATTTTTATACGTGTGTATTTATATTATTTTTATACGTGTGTAAATCCATTGATACTGTTATTATTATTTCTTGGCATGGCACTGGACAAGTGGACTTACGTGGCCAGTGATGACAACAACAAAATGGATGCCGAACTCTTAGAAAGTGAGAAGCTGCATCTTACTCGTGTCCTTGATCCTTAGTGCATTCATATTTTCATTTTTAGTTTTTTTTTTCTTTTTCATGTGGAATTGTGCTCATGCTTGCTCCTCATATTGTTCCGTGCCTCCAGTTTTGAGAAAAGCCAACGGCAAGTGTCCTGTGAATAGCTGGAAGGATGACCGCTTGAAGTGTCTGCCAGAAGAATGTTTTGAGCGAGAACGCCTGACTTGTAACAGCGTTTCTGAGGTGAAAGCACTGATCCATGCTTTTGGGACTGGCTTGAGGTTGCCTGAAATTCGCTAGAGAAGTACATGATATGGGAATATTATGTAAAATTCTGCACTAGATATATTTACAGGAAGTGGATTTTAAGTGACGAGTTTAGCAACCGTGCTTTTAGTAGAGCATATTATGGTTTTAAATTAAACTTTGTAAATTGTTTGGAAATGATGTCAAAATTATTAGCTCTAGCTTTCTTGATACCCACCAGGCCACTCCTTACCTAGTATATACTTTAGTTAATCAAACGAGGAGTTGCTTCTCCCAAATAGAACCAAGTGGGGGGAAAGTAAAAAATAAAAAAATAAAAAAATAAAAAAAAAAAAAAAAAAAAAAAAAACTGAATAAAAACTACGGCCTCGTGTAAATCCGTTCTTTTTGTTTTTTTGAGGACAGATAAGATGCATATATTTTTAAGTCTTAAAGGGACTAAAATGCAGCATGTAGAGATGCTGCTTTAGCCAACATATGTGCCTGATGAATTGTTGTCTAGGCACCTTTGTGATACAAACATGGTCAATACACTAACGATGTGTTTGGTTGGGGGATTTGACGAGGGATTTGGAAAGGGAAAAGGAAAAGTTAGGTGAAATGTGAATAAAATATACTTACATTTTACCTAGTTTCACACACCTTTTCCCTTTTCCTTTCCAAATCCCTTCCCAAATCCCCCAACCAAACACACCATAAGAGAGATTACATATATCCAAAATAACATCGTCCACATCCCATTCACGTGCTTTACTATTTGTAATGTCGTTAACTCGGCTGTCAGTGAGGATAGCAGCTGTGTTAACATTGTGGGACATGCACCATCCCAAAACTTCTAAGCATGCACATGCTTCGGCCATCAATGCTGATGAGGCAAAAAATTGGAACTCCATAGACCTTGATTGTTGCCCATTGTTGTTGAACACATCCCAGGCAGCCCCCCTGCTTTCTTTGAATGCCGGATTGAAGCTCCATCTATTATAATCCTGTCAAAAGTTGTCTTCGGAAAGCATTGTGCACTGTTAGAAAAAATTATGGAATTCACAGAATTATTTTCAACCGCTATAGCTGACAAAGATGTCCTTGAAATGAAAAAATATTTTTACTGCATTCCCAATCCAGTTGGTTAATAGAAATCACAGGTCGAATTGGGTCCTCTACAATATGCTCAAAGGATGCTTTGTTGCGAGGGAGCCATATTCCCCAAAGAATTTTGATGGATTTAACAATAGTTTCATTATCAGGTGCAGTTTTGATCCACTCAAGAAACCAATAATCAAGCCTCTATTGGGTTTCCTATAACAAAGTGTAGCCCCAACCAAGATCCTCTCCAAATTCGTTTTGCAAAAGAACAACGGAAAAATACATGTTTAAGGGTTTCAATCTTTTCATGACATCCAAGACAAATAAAATCATTTTGAAATCCCCTTTTGGCAAGATTCTCTCCAAATTCGTTTTGCAAAGGGGCAACGGAAAAATACATGTTTAAGGATTTCAATCTTTTCAGGACATCTAGGACAAATAAAATCATTTTGAAATCCCCTTTTGGCAAGAGATAGATCAACATGTGGTATTCTACGAATAAACTTCCAAATGAACATTGACCCCTTGGCTAGAAGGTTTAGTTTTCTAATTTTCTTCAAATATCACCGTCAATCCCATTTTCATTTTTGGCTAACATAAAATGGTCTTTCAGCACCATGTAATAGCTCGACTTAATCGAATTACATCCATTTTTAGTTTGGCGCCACATAACAATGTATGGTTTATTGTTAAGTGGGATGTGGGTATTGATAATATGTGGAAATAGAGATTTGAGTCATGGCTCCCTCCAAGTTCTAGAGTTTTTTCTATTAGGTCAGCAACCTGAAAAAATGAGAAAAATCTACCCATTCCTCGGCCAATCATTTCATTGTTTGTGGTAGGTATCCATTGGTCTTCAAAAGGATCTTTTATGTTGTGTTTGGTTGGGGGATTTGGAAAGAGAAAGGAAAAATGTATGTGAAATATGAATAAAATATATTCACATTTCACAAAGTTTCGCACACCTTTACCCATTCCTTTTTTCAAATTCCTTCTTAATTTCCCCAAGCAAACACAACGTTAGTGTCATTACCAACAATCCAGAACAACTCTTTTTAGAAGTTCTTTCCCTCCATAAGAGAGAACAGAGAAATGGCTAGCAAACAACTAATGAGAGAATAAAGAATAAGGGTAAAGGGCGGATAAAGGCCAAAAAATGGACGGTGAAAAAATAAATAGTTAATATAAAATTGATTCGAACGCGTGGTTGTCGTTATTCGATCGACTTGATTTTTTACATGGATGATATACTCAACGAACCCTAAAATGTAAACGATTCAGATCATCGAGATGGAATCCAAAAGTGGACCCATGTCGCGAACTACACGGTCCAGTCTTGATATCCAACTTGAAACAAGCTGAACCTTTTTGAAAATTACATCTCACTCATTGAATTTCTAATTTCATAACAAATAACTTATTTTATTAAAAAATCATAAAGTCAATTAATAGTTTTTAATGATATCAAAATTTTATTTCAATTAATAATTTAGATAATTTTATCATTGTATAGGAGATCAATTAAAAATTTTATTTTTTCATAAAAAAAAACAAAATTTGACAATAAATATTTATAATTTTTCAAATTACAGAGCTCGTATTTTAAGCGAACAAGAAGTGTATTTATAATGTGTTTAATAAATATCTTTTTTTTTTGGTTGGTTTCCTACAAAGTGTTCTAGTGGCCTCTCATCTGTCATCCCTCTGAACATATGAGGATTTAGAAAATCTCCATCCACATCTGTCCACTCAGACTATCGAAACTGCTTAAAAGTTGGTGGATTGAATTGAGTTAGTCATTTTTGGCAGATAGGTCGGGTCCACAAGCACCCCTAATTTCTGCAAATATTTAAAATTTCATTACTCACATTCATTAGATTATTTCATAGATCTCACTATTTTAGTTTTACTATTTACATGATTAATATTTTATTTTTATTATTTTTACATACATTATATCATGTATTAAGTATTATTTTTCGTTTTTAACAAATATACCTAGGGTTATGTTAACAAGTGCCCTCCGTTCTTAAATAAATAAGTAAATGGCGTAGGGCACTATAAAAGGATAAAAAATACGTTAATCCCAAAATATTTATTACTAATTTAATAATACACTTTTAATGAATTATAAAACATTTTATAATCTTTTTACAATTTTGAAATACACATTTTCTCATATTCCTAATATTAACATGTATCGCGGGAGCACTTGTTAGCATTTGCCATATATCCATACGTAAGGATGGCAAAACACCCCGACCCAAATGGAATGGGTTCGAGAGTGGTTAAATAGCATAAGGTCAAATTTAGAAAAACTTTTCAACAACCTGATTGGATTCGGATTGGAGGTGAGGGAGAGTATTCTTTACCCAAACCCTACCTGATCTGTAAATATAGTAGTAAATTAATAATAATATTATATATATATATATATATTTATACATGTAATATGTGTATAATATATTGTTGATATTTTTTTTTAAATATATATAATATCTATACAATGTATGAGTTTCTATTATGCTACAAATATAATATATTTTAATTATAATTATTGTTTTATAGTTTTAATATTATTGTTAAATTTATGATTGTGGGTCCTGGAGTGTGCTTCTATCGCTCGAGCAGGAGAAGGGCTGTAGATGAGTAATGAAGTCGTTTATTTCTCTCAAAGGTGTGAAGCTAGCCTTTAGTCGAGCGAAGGCTAGTCTTGACCTGTAGACTTGCTTCTAGATATGTGCCTTCCTCAAATCCATTTGTCTTGAAATAGGTTTCAACTAGCTTGTAGTACATTTGCCATTTGCTCCAAACGTAGGAAGATTCAAGGGTGAGGGGTTACATTTGCGAGTTTTTGTAGGATGGAAGAGAGTTTCTAAGAATTAGGTCAGGGGTGGAGAAGGCAAACAACTAAAATGGGGATGGGTGTGGGGTAAGAGGTCCCGATCCATACCATACCCATTGCCATCTGTACCCAAACTTATAGGTTTTGGTACCGAAATTAAGGGTCTCCAATGGTAAAAATTTTCTATTTTAGTATTTTGTGAAAATATATTAAATAGAGCAAACATTTTCATAATTAAGAAAACTTAAAGAACTACTTTATAATTTAGAAGTTAATATATATTCATTGGTAACCTATTTCGGGAGGCTTTTCCCAAACTAGGCATCGATACTAAGTTATTTCCCAAACTAGGCCTAGTTTGGCCGAATTTCCCAGAATAAGCTGAAGCGTTTCAACGTGTTTCTGGCTCAGGCGGACAAATTAAATAAAATCATAAAAGCGTGGTTAGAAAACACGACTTTAATTAAGAAAACGCTGTTGCTATTAGCATTTTCATCTTTAAATAATAGCGCGATTTCTAACCACGCTTTTAACAGAAAGCGTGATTCCTAACCATGCTTTTAACAGAAGTCCATTATAAAATGGCCTACCCCCCCTCATTTGCAACCACGCTTTTAAACACTTCTCTTTTTTTTTCCCTCAAAACCCGAACCAGTTCTCCCTCTCTCTGTTGATCTCTGCTCTCTCTCTCTCTCTCTCTCAGTTTGAATTTTATTTATGTTGATTTTGTTTGTGAAAATGTGAATGTGGGTAGATAACAATGTGGGGTTTTGTGAATTCAAATTGGGGTCTTGTCAATTCAAATTGAGGAAGTTCGGAAGATTGAATAGTTTGAATACAGTTTGAAAGATAGAATAGTTTTGTGAATTCAGATTGATACCAATGTGGGTAGAATAGGGTTCTGTGAATTGAAATTGTGGTTTTGAATTCACAGAACCCTAGCCCTAACCCAATTCTAGGGTTTTGAATTGAATTTGAATTTACAAATTAGGGCTAGGGTTTTGTGAATTGAAATTTTGGTTATTATATGCATTTGTGTTTGTTTGTGAATTCAAATTTTGATTAATTATGAGTTGCACCAATCTCTATGTTTGTTTGTGAATTGAAATTCTGTGTAGATAGGCCGATCTAGACAGAATCCATGTCCCAAAACCGTAGGAGACACAGATAAATTAAACTTTTTTATTGCAAATAAAATTATGGATAAACCCAAAATGATATTTGTCACTTTCTTTTACCTTATATCTACTAGTTGGCCCCCTACGCACGGAGTTGTGGTGTAGT